TTCTACCAGAGTAGTGAGAAACTGAAAGTGTGTTTATTGTTTATAAAGTTTGATACTTCTACCAGAGTAGTGAGAAACTGAAAGTGTGTTTATTGTTTATAAAGTTTGATACCTCTACCAGAGTAGTGAGAAACTGAAAGTGTGTTTATTGTTTATAAAATTTGGTACTTCTACCAGAGTAGTGAGAAACTGAAAGTGTGTTTATTGTTTATAAAGTTTGGTACTTCTACCAGAGCAGTGAGAAACTGAAAGTGTGTTTGTTGTTTATAAAGTTTGGTACTTCTACCAGAGTAGTCAGAAACTGAAAGTGTGTTTGTTGTTTATGAAGTTTGGTACCTCTACCAGAGTAGTGACAAACTGAAAGTGCGTTTATTGTTTATAAAGTTTGGTACTTCTACCAGAGTAGTGAGAAACTGAAAGTGTGTTTGTTGTTTATAAAGTTTGGTACCTCTACCAGAGTAGTGACAAACTGAAAGTGTGTTTATTGTTTATAAAGTTTGATACTTCTACCAGAGTAGTGAGAAACTGAAAGTGTGTTTGTTGTTTATAAAGTTTGATACTTCTACCCGAATAGTGAGAAACTGAAAGTGTGTTTGTTGTTTATGAAGTTTGGTACTTCTACCAGAGCAGTGAGAAACTGAAAGTGTGTTTGTTGTTTATAAAGTTTGGTACTTCTACCAGAGTAGTGAGAAACTGAAAGTGTGTTTGTTGTTTATAAAGTTTGGTACCTCTACCAGAGCAGTGAGAAACTGAAAGTGTATTTATTGTTTATAAAGTTTGGTACTTCTACCAGAGTAGTGAGAAACTGAAAGTGTGTTTATTGTTTATAAAGTTTGGTACTTCTACCAGAGGGATAAATTAATAACTTAATTATCTGATCAACATTAAGTTAACCTAGAATCCTAGACGATGTACCCGCCCTCTAGGATAAATTAATAATTTAATTATCTGATCAACATTAAGTTAACCTAGAATCCTAGACGATGTTCCCGCCCTCTAGGGTAAATTAATAATTTAATTATCTGATCAACATTAAGTTAACCTAGAAACATAGACGATGTACCCGCCCTCTAGGCTAGATTAATAATTTCCTTATGGGATCAGTCATTATGTTAATCTTAGGAACCTTCTTCAGAAAAATATTCACTGGTTTATATTTTTTTTAATATCCGTCTCATTGCTCATACATTGACATTATCCTTTTTTTTTCTAGGTTCAATATCTGTTAAAGAGATCCTTTCATCGGTTTAAACTTAAACGAAACCTGGCGAGAAACGTCGCATCTAACAGCAATTCTCCAAGGACTACCAGAGATTCAGTAACCACGCAGGTCTCTTCAATAGCAGAAACGGTTGCGCGTGAAATAAGTCCAGTAGAATGTAGCTAGGGCACGTTGAATTCAAACTACGAAGTTTCTGATATCAGTTCCAGTCTTAGCGATGTTGTAAGCTTATGTTTGGTTATTTTAGTATGTGAGGTTCTCGTGGTTGTCATCGGTACACATCCCAACGATCTTGACGTTAAAACTTTCTGTTCTTTTACACGTAGTTTATAATACAAACTTACGTGCACTTAACACTTTCAGTTTCTCACTACTCTGGTAGAAGTACCAAGCTTTATAAACAACAAACACACTTTCAGTTTCTCACTGTAGAGGGCGGGTACATCGTCTATGTTTCTAGGTTAACTTAATGTTGATCAGACAATTAAATTATTAATTAACCCTAGAGGGCGAGTACATCGTCTATGTTTCTAGGTTAACTTAATGTTGATCAGATAATTAAATTATTAATTTACCCCAGAGGGCGGGTACATCGTCTAGGATTCTAGGTTAACTTAGTGTTGATCAGATAATTAAATTATTAATTTACCCTAGAGGGCGGGCACATCGTCTACCTCAACCTAGTGATTGTAAATACACAGAAAATCCCAGCAGTGATTAGTCTGGTTAAATTAAATATTTTC